TAAATGCGTGATTTGCGTCAGAAATAGGAAATATTATATGCGTTAAAATGCGTGACTGCGGGGAAGGGGGTTAAATTCAATCTTAATAACACCTTTGTTCAAGTATATAAAATATAATTATACAATTTTCGTAGTCGTTGTAACAATTACGTTTTTCTATGTCACCTTTTTCTTATTGAACTGTGATGATAACAGATGTTTTTAAATTGAATAGAAAAATCCTATTATTGCTTGAAAATTTTATTGATAATTAAAATTCAGTTTAAACTTACTATCAAATTCTTCCTTACTAGAGACTTTACAAATCGGGATAGTTATTTGATATCTATTTTGGAATTGCTTTGTTTAATAAGGGGGGGGGGGGTCAAACGACAATGCTGTTTTTTTAGGAGTGGAATGGGCAAGATTGTATTGAAGATATTGCTTGAAAAGGTTTGGTTTTTCATCTCTTTGTTTACGCGTAACTTTATACAAACTTCGTTTGGAATAATGCTTTAAATTCTAGGCCATCAAGTATAAAGAGAAAAAAATATAAGAAGCATTGTATGTGAGTACATTTTCTATCTTTTGAATGTATGAACAAAGTTAGGTGTGGGTGCTCTTGTACATTAAACAACAAAAAATGGTTGCATGCAAAAATTCATGTACAAAGAAGAAGAAAACTGTAACATATGTTATGTGACTCAACTCGAGTGCTTAGATATGGAACAGTATTCTATATTTATCATGTAGAGTTTATCTGCTGAAGCATTTGTTAACTTTCTGTCAATTTAATATATAATTACGCACATATACATCATGATGAAAGACACACTCACCAAAGGGAAACATCTGGTTTCACTTGCTTTCAAGCTTGAGACACGGTTGTAATGTGATTTGATACATACATACCTACATATGGCATCACTTTGATTGACGCAATATAAAATTAATGTATTAAAAAAGACTGTCTAGTAAATAATATTTGACCTATTAGTACTGAATTTCAGAGTCAAATGAGGTACCTTTTACCTTTGTTTTCTAAGTTTGTCCATCTTTGTCAAATATATTGTAATTGCCTTATACCATTTAAGAATATGGAGCAGCAAAATTTCAATGGAACGATTCTAAGGAGATAAAATTCTATTAAGTCAGGCTTGACCACAAATACAACACAAGAATCTTCCTTTAAAGGCACCAAAACATTTATGTTGACCTCATAATTTAAATCCCTGTCACAAAGGGTTATTAGAGTTTGTCATTTAATTTACTGGACGTAGGCAATGAAAATGCACATGACGAATAGAGATAGAGAGAGAGAGAGAGAGAGAGAGAGATTTGTTTTAGTTGTAAATTAAAAGTCTATTAAATTAAAAAAAATATGATTACTATTTGAAAACAATTTATAGCTAGGTATCCAACGCCAACATCTAGTTAAATATTTTAATAAAAAATAAATCTTCTCACATTTTAGACAGCAAATTTTCTTAAAATTACAGGTTCAAAGGATCTCTCTTTGTCTTCTTCTAGGTTAAACACAATGAGCTGGTCTTCCGACATTGAAGTTAATGGGAACAGTTCCACGAGGTTCCACGATACTACTTCACCGCTCTTTTGGAGTTGTGAAAGCAAGCGACGAATTTTTTTTATTCAAAGTGCTGAATTTACCGTATAGAAGGAGTCCTCTAAAATATCCGAATTTGCAATTCCGAAAAGGCCATTTGAACCCATAATCATAATATACATGTATACGCAAACTTTTTTTCAACTAATTTTATCCGATTTAGCTACCGTAGAAAGTAAAACCTTCAGTCGCGTTTCAATAAAAGAAGAAAAAAAAACCCTATGGGCTGGACGTGACGTTTTGGTATCTTTAAAATGATGTATATGTTAAAGCACAAACCAAATTAAGCATAACTTCTTCCTCAAGCCCGTTTTATTTATTACAATTTTGATTCTGGTGTACATAAATACAGGACAAATTGCAAAATCCTACAATATTTAAGAAGTAGAATATTAGTTTCGCGCCAATCTCATATTTTTTAAAGTCTAGTCTGAAAAAGCATTCATTAAATATATGAAGAATTTCTTAAATAAAATACCAGTATATACAAGTTTTATCGCTTATCAATAACATAAAAATCCGGATTATTTATTGCCTGGTAACAACTTTTTTTTCAAAGGTAACCTTTTTGATTCGATTTGCTATTTATCTCCTACTCTCATCTCTACCATCTCGATTTTCCCTCCCACTCTCAACCCTCCCCCCGAAAAAATCCACTCGGCCAACCCCTCTCCAGCCGAGTAACACAATCCAGTGGTGGATCTAGGTACTGAGAAGAGGGGGAGGGAGTTTGGGGTAGGGGGTCTTAATTTATTAAGATTTATTTATTAATTTATTTATTAAATTTATTAAAAGGGTGCCCGCCCCCTCTACATCTGCCAGTAAAAATGGTTAATTTTCATTGAACATTTTCTTTTTTTTTCTTATTTTAAATAAAAGTAAGATAAATTAAGTATATCTTCACGGTCATAAACATTGGCTTGTCCATATATACTTCACTGAGAAATTGTTGCGAGGAATGACAGAAGAAATTTTAATGCTGGAAGCACAAGGTGAGCAAACATAATAGGGAAAAAATATACAGTACATATACCATTTTCATTTTGACCCACGAAGATGTTGATGAAACAAAAACGAAGTAATTCAGAATGAAAAAAAAAAATAAAATGACAAATAATAATTCGTAATTTGTAGTATCTCAATATAATAATATATCCCACAGGTGTGTATTTACACACACACACACACACATTAATGAAATTTTTTTTATATTTTTAAATACTTGAATATAAATAAATACAGGAAACATCAAAATTATTAGAGAGAGAGAGAGAAAGAGGAAGCCATGCCGATTCAGGCACTTGAAGGCATCTGAGGACTTTAATAATAAAAAAAAAAAATTTTTATCTTAACCTTTTTATACTCTGTAATCAAGGATCTTAAGCCTGCTGCATATAATTTTTTTTTTTCAAAAATATATAGGAAGACTTTCATGTACATGTAATTTTTTTTTTCATGCAAAATATTTGACCTTCAATAATTTTTGTTGTGAATTTTAAATAATTTAAAGGAACATTTCAAATGTGAATTTCAGGAAATAAAATACTTGAATAATGGGTACGTAAATATTGTACCTAGGTGTTTTTGAGATGATGAAATTTTACAAAATAATTGTCAAATACCACTGTTTTTCTTCATCTCCTCAGTATTTCAAATGTATATTGTAGTGACCAGATTATTTATTGCAATTTTTACATTTTGACCTTGTTCTTGGGCTTTAAATACTGGTATAAAGAACTAAGAAACAGTATGACATTTAACTTTTGACACGGTTTGTCCAGAAGGAATTTCTAATTATGATAACCAAAATATTTTTATATCACTTGGTGGGATTTCTTAGCAGTATTACAGGGTCTTATGTTGGACTTAAGAACATCTCTACTACTAAAGATATGAAGTCCTAAAACTCAGAATCCTAGGTCAGAATGGTGGGATTCTCTACAATCAATCCCAATCTGACATGGATCAATAAATGTTTTAACAAATGGGATATTTTCTCACAGATTTTTTCCACTCCGATTTGAATTTGTTCAAATGGGATAAATCCCACGGATATTGACATTAAAGAATTTTCAAAAGCCTTTAAACATGTTATCTCTGACATTATGACGATGACAAATCTCTCTCCAAATCTTAATTTATTCAATAATATTCCGTTCTCTATCATCAACCTTATTGGAGAAAATAATTCTACTTGTCAATATCCGTAAATATTTAAGAATAAGAATATAGGAATTATAATATCTAATTCATTGTTTTTTCTAACACTTTATAGATTCAATTTAGGTCTTGAAATTGTGGGACTGCTAAACCTGAGACCTCAAATCACAGTTCTAACATCTAACAAAAGGAAAAGACATTGTTTTTTTTTCATAGATTTATTCAATTAAAAGTAACAAATCCCACATCCTTAGAGTGATATAAAAGATGTTTTGGTTATCATTATTAGAAATGGTATTTCGGAATGGGAACCTTCATGTAAGTCGGCGTACAATGTACTAAATACGTATATTCATTACAACACATAAAATGTAACAAACTTAAAATTTATTAATTGCTATTAATAAAAAAAAGAAGTACTGTTGAATATATAACAATATAAAATAAAAACAGGTTAGAAATAAGATAAATAAAAATAATATAATATTTTTATTATCATAATGAATTTACACTTTAACTTTACACGTTTTGCTTGTATGTAAATTTGAATTCACTGGATGGCATTAAATCGACGCGTTCGATATTTTAATTTAATTTTTTTTTTGATTGGTTGATCCCTTCTGATTATTAATCGCAAATACTGAAAATTGCAGCTCTGTAAAGAAATACCGAATGCGCGTAATATTTCTAAACAGAAATTTATTAGAAATAATTTTACATTGTAAAATTTGCAAATAATCCGCTATGGGTTCGCTTTGGGTGCGCTCCGGGTTCGCTCCGGGTTCGCTTTCTGTTAGGTTTTGCACGGTCGGTACTGTATTTTAGGAATCAAGTGATTTTTTCTTAATCTTGAGAATGGAAATCGAATGAGAAGAATTCTATCGATAGTGATCGAAAGGACAAACAAAGCTGACGCTTCCCTGGAAAGAGTAGCCGCAACACCGGCGAAAACACACAGAGGACTATGTCTCCAAAGGTCATCCTCAAAACCATACCGACCACTAAATACCAAGTTAGCACCAGCAATGATATATAGATACACACCCATCAGAAAGTCAGCAATTCCTAGATTTATAGAATAAATGACAAAAGGGGAAATGGTTTTCTCCTTTAAGACTACTCTAAAATTACTGGCAGATCAAAGGTTCACAGCTATAATGGCTTTGTACCATTGAACCCCAAAATGCACAACATAATAAGAGGCTGGAAAGTTAAAAAGTGGAAAATTTACCTGCTATGTATAGAAAACTGTCCGACAAAATATATCGGGTGGGTAGCGAGTCTCCGTCTTCTTCTTGTATAGAGAAAATGCCCCCGCTGAGCAGGTACCCAACTCTCCCGGGGCCGAGGAAGCTGAAAGATGAAAGTCCTCTACAGTGCTAAAAACAAAATAAATCAGAAAAATTACAGAAAAATTATCTTAAGCATTTATTTAACAGCAATTTTTTTCAGGTTTTCTAGAAAATAAAAAAATTACACACCTTCTACATTGTTTATTGTTTTAAAAATGTACCCCCAAAGGGTGGGGTACATGTTACACAATATTACATGTAATTACATGTAAATACAAAAAGGCCTAATCTTATACATGCATTTTTAAGTCATTCCAATAATTCCTGGAAAAAATCAGAAGTCTAGGTTCTCTACAATAAAGATTTTATGATGTTGAAATTCTACATGCCTGGTTTGTAAGTCTAAGGGAAGTAACTCTAATTACAAAAACTGGAAAGCAGTAAAAAATGAGTTGCCGAGGGCTACGCTGATGAAAAAAACAAGCAGCAAGAAAGGAAAAATACAGACCTAAGTGTAGCTACACCAAAGAAACAACTTCACTACAAATTCAGTACCCTGCAGTCCAAGTAAAGCAATCCAGAGAATCACACGCACTACCAGCCAAAAGATGTCAAGAGAGAAAAGTGTGCAACTTTGACATGACCACTATAGAATGCCCTTTTAAGGTTCACCAGAACTATTTGAAAAGATACCGTATGCAACCGTTAAAGAAATGAAATGAAATGAACACCAGGTCACAGCCCCTACAATGCCATACATGTACATATATATAGAACACAACACATAAAGACACACATGTAAATACATATAATATTAATGTACATGCATAAATTTATACAAACTTACTTACACATAAATATTCATCATAAGAGCAATCTGATGCACTTTATTAACTTACTCTCCTCCTCGGACAATATCAAATGTACCACGCTAACCTAATATCTACATTCTACTCACTACCCCCCCCCCCCCCCCCCTTACCGAGAACAGAATTCCTCCAAAATCTCAACACATGAAAAACAATTCCATTTTTTTTGCTATTTACCTCTCAGTGTGTCATCAATATTCGGATTAAGAGCCAAAAATCACTTTTCATGACTTTAAATTCACTTAACATTTTAAAAATTTGGGTCTCTATAGGGAAAAGAGTACCAATTATTTTCCCATAGAACTCTATACAAACATTTTGTCCTCTCACTACTATACTAATTTAATTTCAGATAATTCCTTGGCATCGTTTGAAACTTTAATCCAAGCGCTTATAAAAAATCCCGGAAAAAATATAGGGTCCCATGGCGTTTATAGGTCAAAATTGCAGTTCTTTAAAACTTATAGGTTTCGGCAGTAAATAACGCTCTGCAAAAAAAATCACCCCCCACTCCTACAATCTCCCCTGGTATTTCTATATTCTCTGTAATATTCCTACATTCCATCATTTATTTCAAATATTAATATTTTTACTTTAAAATGAAAAACATTACATACCTCATTTCAGCCAATCAGGTAATGCCGACCTATTCAGTACTCGACTCTACATTGTGCCACAAACAACGCCATGTGCTCATCCGGGGATTTGGTACTCTCATTCCTATACTTACATATTTACCTCTCCCAGAATTTGTCAATTTTGTAATTTTCAAAGACTTTATACTTACCAATGAATATGTATAAAATTTTAGGCCTGTCACTCCAGTGTCTTGGAAGCTGTGACAATCTTAATTAATGACACCTCCCTCCATTCAGTAGAATTCCAGGGAGTGAGAAACTGTCATTCCTTTGATGTGATCTGGATACAGTTGTGACTGTAAAGAATAAAACATTTATAAATTGCATGATTTTGTTTTTTATTGTCAATAAAATGCTATAAAGTCACATTTGTGTCATTTTTTTTCATAAGGGTGGATTCTACCCAGAATTTAAAAAAGGCTCCAAAATTTGATAAAATATAGCTAATTAAGCAAAATTGAAAGGCTTTAAAAAGACTAATTCAGAATTTTTTTTATGCTTATGAAAAGTAAATTATTTGAGACTCTGATATACTAATTGATTCTTATCTAACCCCTCATGTTGCTTAAGTATGTGCAAAAAAGTATCACCACCCCCCAGTGAAAGACACTTGGAGAAATAGCAGGTGCCCCCTATTATATTTGTTTACAATAAATTTAAATGAGAGAAAATCAATCCTTTTGATAATAAATGAAAGTTCAGTATCTACAGTCTTATACAGTACAATCTTAATCTACAGGATGGAGTTTTATACATAGAAAAGGGGAATTTAGATCAATTTTTCAAAAATAAGAAATGCAATAATTTTGACTTTAAACCCCAAAATGCACAACATAATAAGAGGCTGGAAAGTTAAAAAGTGGAAAATTTACCTGCTATGTATAGAAAACTGTCCGACAAAATATATCGGGTGGGTAGCGAGTCTCCGTCTTCTTCTTGTATAGAGAAAATGCCCCCGCTGAGCAGGTACCCAACTCTCCCGGGGCCGAGGAAGCTGAAAGATGAAAGTCCTCTACAGTGCTAAAAACAAAATAAATCAGAAAAATTAGTCAAATCACATCTTAAGCATTTATTTAACAGCAATTTTTTTCAGGTTTTCTAAAAAATAAAAAAATTACACACCTTCTACATTGTTTATTGTTTTAAAAATGTACCCCCAAAGGGTTGGGTACATGTTACACAATATTACATGTAATTACATGTAAATACAAAAAGGCCTAATCTTATACATGCATTTTTAAGTCATTCCAATAATTCCTGGAAAAAATCAGAAGTCTAGGTTCTCTACAATAAAGATATTATGATGTTGAAATTCTACATGCCTGGTTTGTAAGTCTAAGGGAAGTAACTCTAATTACAAAAACTGGAAAGCAGTAAAAAATGAGTTGCCGAGGGCTACGATGATGAAAAAAACAAGCAGCAAGAAAGGAAAAATACAGACCTAAGTGTAGCTACACCAAAGAAACAACTTCACTACAAATTCAGTACCCTGCAGTCCAAGTAAAGCAATCCAGAGAATCACACGCACTACCAGCCAAAAGATGTCAAGAGAGAAAAGTGTGCAACTTTGACATGACCACTATAGAATGCCCTTTTTAGGTTCACCAGAACTATTTGAAAAGATACCGTATGCAACCGTTAAAGAAATGAAATGAAATGAACACCAGGTCACAGCCCCTACAATGCCATACATGTACATATATATAGAACACAACACATAAAGACACACATGTAAATACATATAATATTAATGTACATGCATATATTTATACAAACTTACTTACACATAAATATTCATCATAAGAGCAATCTGATGCACTTTATTAACTTACTCTCCTCCTCGGACAATATCAAATGTACCACGCTATACTAATATCTACATTCTACTCACTACTCCCCCCCCCCCCCCCCCCCTTACCGAGAACAGAATTCCTCCAAAATCTCAACACATGAAAAACAATTCCATTTTTTTTGCTATTTACCTCTCAGTGTGTCATCAATATTCGGATTAAGAGCAAAAAATCACTTTTCATGACTTTAAATTCACTTAACATTTTAAAAATTTGGGTCTCTATAGGGAAAAGAGTACCAATTATTTTCCCATAGAACTCTATACAAACATTTTGTCCTCTCACTACTATACTAATTTAATTTCAGATAATTCCTTGGCATCGTTTGAAACTTTAATCCAAGCGCTTATAAAAAATCCCGGAAAAAATATAGGGTCCCATGGCGTTTATAGGTCAAAATTGCAGTTCTTTAAAACTTATAGGTTTCGGCAGTAAATAACGCTCTGCAAAAAAAATCACCCCCCACTCCTACAATCTCCCCTGGTATTTCTATACTCTCTGTAATATTCCTACATTCCATCATTTATTTCAAATATTAATATTTTTACTTTAAAATGAAAAACATTACATACCTCATTTCAGCCAATCAGGTAATGCCGACCTATTCAGTACTTGACTCTACATTGTGCCACAAACAACGCCATGTGCTCATCCGGGGATTTGGTACTCTCATTCCTATACTTACATATTTACCTCTCCCAGAATTTGTCAATTTTGTAATTTTCAAAGACTTTATACTTACCAATGAATATGTATAAAATTTTAGGCCTGTCACTCCAGTGTCTTGGAAGCTGTGACAATCTTAATTAATGACACCTCCCTCCATTAAGTAGAATTCCAGGGAGTGAGAAACTGTCATTCCTTTGATGTGATCTGGATACAGTTGTGACTGTAATGAATAAAACATTTATAAATTGCATGATTTTGTTTCTTATTGTCAATAAAATGCTATAAAGTCACATTTGTGTCATTTTTTTTCATAAGGGTGGATTCTACCCAGAATTTAAAAAAGGCTCCAAAATTTGATAAAATATAGCTAATTAAGCAAAATTGAAAGGCTTTAAAAAGACTAATTCAGAATTTTTTTTATGCTTATGAAAAGTAAATTATTTGAGACTCTGATATACTAATTGATTCTTATCTAACCCCTCATGTTGCTTAAGTATGTGCAAAAAAGTATCACCACCCCCCAGTGAAAGACACTTGGAGAAATAGCAGGTGCCCCCTATTATATTTGTTTACAATAAATTTAAATGAGAGAAATTCAATCCTTTTGATAATAAATGAAAGTTCAGTATCTACAGTCTTATACAGTACAATCTTAATCTACAGGATGGAGTTTTATACATAGAAAAGGGGAATTTAGATCAATTTTTCAAAAATAAGAAATGCAATAATTTTGACTTTAAACCCCAAAATGCACAACATAATAAGAGGCTGGAAAGTTAAAAAGTGGAAAATTTACCTGCTATGTATAGAAAACTGTCCGACAAAATATATCGGGTGGGTAGCGAGTCTCCGTCTTCTTCTTGTATAGAGAAAATGCCCCCGCTGAGCAGGTACCCAACTCTCCCGGGGCCGAGGAAGCTGAAAGATGAAAGTCCTCTACAGTGCTAAAAACAAAATAAATCAGAAAAATTAGTCAAATCACATCTTAAGCATTTATTTAACAGCAATTTTTTTCAGGTTTTCTAAAAAATAAAAAAATTACACACCTTCTACATTGTTTATTGTTTTAAAAATGTACCCCCAAAGGGTTGGGTACATGTTACACAATATTACATGTAATTACATGTAAATACAAAAAGGCCTAATCTTATACATGCATTTTTAAGTCATTCCAATAATTCCTGGAAAAAATCAGAAGTCTAGGTTCTCTACAATAAAGATATTATGATGTTGAAATTCTACATGCCTGGTTTGTAAGTCTAAGGGAAGTAACTCTAATTACAAAAACTGGAAAGCAGTAAAAAATGAGTTGCCGAGGGCTACGATGATGAAAAAAACAAGCAGCAAGAAAGGAAAAATACAGACCTAAGTGTAGCTACACCAAAGAAACAACTTCACTACAAATTCAGTACCCTGCAGTCCAAGTAAAGCAATCCAGAGAATCACACGCACTACCAGCCAAAAGATGTCAAGAGAGAAAAGTGTGCAACTTTGACATGACCACTATAGAATGCCCTTTTTAGGTTCACCAGAACTATTTGAAAAGATACCGTATGCAACCGTTAAAGAAATGAAATGAAATGAACACCAGGTCACAGCCCCTACAATGCCATACATGTACATATATATAGAACACAACACATAAAGACACACATGTAAATACATATAATATTAATGTACATGCATATATTTATACAAACTTACTTACACATAAATATTCATCATAAGAGCAATCTGATGCACTTTATTAACTTACTCTCCTCCTCGGACAATATCAAATGTACCACGCTATACTAATATCTACATTCTACTCACTACTCCCCCCCCCCCCCCCTTACCGAGAACAGAATTCCTCCAAAATCTCAACACATGAAAAACAATTCCATTTTTTTTGCTATTTACCTCTCAGTGTGTCATCAATATTCGGATTAAGAGCAAAAAATCACTTTTCATGACTTTAAATTCACTTAACATTTTAAAAATTTGGGTCTCTATAGGGAAAAGAGTACCAATTATTTTCCCATAGAACTCTATACAAACATTTTGTCCTCTCACTACTATACTAATTTAATTTCAGATAATTCCTTGGCATCGTTTGAAACTTTAATCCAAGCGCTTATAAAAAATCCCGGAAAAAATATAGGGTCCCATGGCGTTTATAGGTCAAAATTGCAGTTCTTTAAAACTTATAGGTTTCGGCAGTAAATAACGCTCTGCAAAAAAAATCACCCCCCACTCCTACAATCTCCCCTGGTATTTCTATACTCTCTGTAATATTCCTACATTCCATCATTTATTTCAAATATTAATATTTTTACTTTAAAATGAAAAACATTACATACCTCATTTCAGCCAATCAGGTAATGCCGACCTATTCAGTACTTGACTCTACATTGTGCCACAAACAACGCCATGTGCTCATCCGGGGATTTGGTACTCAATTAATGACCTTTGAAATAAATGATGGGATGAGGGAATATTACAGAAACTATAGAAATACCAGGGAAGATTTTAGGAGTGGGGGTTGATTTTTTATGCCGCGTGTTATTTACTGCGAATCTCTATAAGTTGAAAATAACTGCAATTTTGACCTATAAACGCCATGGGACCATATATTTTTTTCAGTATTTTTTGTTAGGGCTTAGAACAAAGTTTGAAATGATGCTAAAGATTTTTCTGAAATTGTCATAGTAAAGTACTGAGAGGGCCTAAGGTTTGTATGGAGTTCTATGGGAAAATAATTAGTGGTCTTTTCCCTATAGAGACCCCAATTTTTACACTTTAAAGTGATTTGAAAGTCATGAAATGTTATTTTTTGCTAATTATTTGAAGATTGATGACATTTCGAGAGAAAATTTAGCAAAAATTTGAATTAGTTTACTGCGGTAATGGGGTTAGTGGTGATTTGGGTCTATTAAAGAGAGGAGGGGGGGGGGGGGGGTAAGAGAAGATAGAAATTAGTAAAGTCCTGTACAGATAACATGGTCAAAGGAGGAAGGTAAGTTAAGAAAATGTATTAGATTGTTCTTAAGATGAATGATTGTATGTGTGCATAGATTTATGGATGTATTTTGCATGTACATGTGACTGTGTATTTATTATGTTTTGCTCTATCTGTGTATATTATGGAAGTGTAGGACAGTGACCTGGTGTTCATTTTTTTTTAGTTTCTTAGACTTTTGCACTTTTTTCAAATAATTAAGGTGGCACATTAAAGGAATTTTTGTGATGGACAAGTGAAAGGAGGACATTTTCTGTCTTGTCATCTCATGTTTGGTAGTGTATGTGTTCCTCTGGATTGCCCCCCCCCCCCCCCTTTTCTTGGCTGCAGGGTGATCAATTTGTAGTTTTGTTGTTTCTATGTTGTAGCTACACAAAGGTCTATGTTTTCTCTTTTTTCGCTCTTTGTAGTTTCATCAGAATTACTCGCTGCAACTCACTTTCTAATGGTTTCTAGTTTTTGTACTTAGAGTTACTTCCCTTAGACCTGCTGACCAGACAGGTAGAATTTCAACATGATGATATATCTTAACAGTTGTGACCTTTGGCTTCTGATTTTTTTTCATAAATTATTGTAATGACCTTGAACTGCATGTATGACATTTGACCTTTATTATATTTACATGTAATATTATGTAATATTGAAAAAACATGTATTCCACCCTTGGCGGATCCATTTTTCATACATTTAGCTATGTAGAAGACATGTAATTAAGGAAATTTTTAGAAAACTTGAAAAATATTGTTGTTTCTTTCATGATTTATGCTTAATTTGACTAATTTTATTGATTTATTTTCATTTAAGCACTTTAGAGGAATTTCATCTTTCAGCTTTCTTGGCCCCGGGAGTGCTCGGTCTCTGATCAGCAGGGGCATTTTCTCTATATAAGAAGAAAATGGAGACACCCTACCCACCCGATGTATTTTGTCGGACAGTTTTCTGTACATTGCAGGTAATTTTTTTATTTATTAACTTTCCAGCCTCTTATTGTATAGTACATTTTGGGGGTTGAAGTCAGTTTTTGCTTTTCTTTAATTTTTAAAAAAAATTATTTAAATTCTCCTTTTCTTAGCATGAAATTCAAAAAGTAGCTTCTGATTGTAATGTATAAGACTACAGACATTGAACTTTGATTTGTTATCAAAAGGATTGATTTAAACTTGTCTAAATTAATTGTAAACAAAAATAAAAGGGGGCACCTGCTATTTCTTTAAGTGTTTTTCACTGGGAGGTGGGGAAACTTTTTTGTACATTCTTAAGCAATAGGAGGGATTAGATAAGAATCAATTTGTATATCAGAGTCTTAAATAATTTACTTTGCATAAGCATAAAAAAATTCTATATCAGTCTTTTTAAAACCTTTGAATTTTGCTTAATTAACTATGATTAATCCAATTTTGGAGCTTTTTACCTAATTCTGGGTAGAATCCACCCTTATGAAATTATTGACTCAATTTTGACTTAATATCACTTTATTAACATTAAAACACAAAAACAATTCATTGTACAAATATTTTATTTATTACAGTCACCAATATATCCAAATATCATCACCGGCCCAGACGTCATTCACTCCTCTGAACTGTGCTGGTAGCAGTAAGGTGTCATCATTTGAGATGGTCACAGTATCCAATACACTGAAGTCACAGGACTCAAATTTCATACATGTTCACAGGTAGGTGTATAGTCTTTGAAATTACCACAATTGACTAATTCTGGGACAGGTAAGTATGTAAGTATAGGAATGAGAGCACCAAATCCCCGGATGCACACATGGCTTTGTTTGTTATGGAACATTAAACAGAATACTGAATGGGTAGGCGTTACGCCATTGGCTGAAATCAGGTATTTAATTGTTTTCATTTTAAAGTAAAATTAATGACCTTTGAAATAAATGATGGGATGAGGGAATATTACAGAAACTATAGAAATACCAGGGAAGATTTTAGGAGTGGGGGTTGATTTTTTATGCCGCGTGTTATTTACTGCGAATCTCTATAAGTTGAAAATAACTGCAATTTTGACCTATAAACGCCATGGGACCATATATTTTTTTCAGTATTTTTTGTTAGGGCTTAGAACAAAGTTTGAAATGATGCTAAAGATTTTTCTGAAATTGTCATAGTAAAGTACTGAGAGGGCCTAAGGTTTGTATGGAGTTCTATGGGAAAATAATTAGTGGTCTTTTCCCTTCCTATAAGAATGCTTTGAAGAAAATTAAGATGCGAGTTATTTCCCTTGCATTGTTAAATCGTAACTATCTGTACATAATTCATGGATTCCTGGAAAAAGGTTCTTCGTGTTGTAATTAATCTTATGATCGGGAGCATCTTGTCGACAAGTCTTCGTGACATTCTCCCAAGCTACCTGGAATTTTAAACAAAGAACAACACTATATAATTCATTTATTGTCGTAAATAGGAACATGTGTGGTCGTAAATTAAAAGAAAACGGAATTGTGCAAATTCCAATTATATTTCAAAAGAACGTGTAACATTATTCAGTGTCGAAATTTTAGATAACCTCGATTTACAGTGCAACACGCTTTGTTAATGGCATGTTTTGCCATTCTTTTGTAACCTGAAGCGCTTTTCAATGTATACATTTACCGGTATATGTACATATGCATTGGCGTCGGAAGCTAATTGAAAATTGGGGGGGGGGGGGGGCTAAGTGCTAACCGCCCCCGGTTCCGACGCCTATGATATGTAACAGTTTGCATATGTAGCAATGGTAAATAAATATATTATAACAATAGCAAACCTTCTTATTTCAACGATAATTGTATTCTAATGCCTTTGGGCTACTTCTTGTACCTATATCTATCATGATTAAAACTTTTAAAAACTTCATTTGATAAAAACCAATGATTTTACGGTTGTGTTAAAATGTCAGTGGGGGATACTTTAGGTACGTCATGGTCGGAATGTCGTTAAGAGTTTTACAATAGATAGCTTTCCTCGGAAAAATACCGTTTTACAAACGTTT